GAACAGTATAAGTGATGGATAGTGTACCCGGGGGGTAGTTTATCTGAGGGGTTATTACGGGGAGTAATAAGAGAGAAGTCAGAGCAAGTAAGTATAGAGAGAGAAAGTGTATTTAGAAAGTATGCAGCGTTTATGACTTGGTTACAAATGGGGAAATGGGGTGCTATTTATAGTAGCAATAAATGCCGGACAGGGACACGTGTCAAGCGCCCATTGGCCGAGAGGTCACCTCAACTGGTTGGCACTGGCAGCCGCATGTGGCCGCATTTAATGCGGCTGTTGGATGGGACGTTGTACAGGGTACGGTGATCTGTACGCATGTGGCGCGGATATTATGTCGGGAGAGGTGCCCTCGGCTGCAGAGGACTAGCCGAGGGCTCTGAGTGCCGGGGACCCCCTGGGTGCAGAGGGCTCCAGGTGCCGAGAGCTACTGTTTTCTGTCGTGTTTCTCCCAGTTTCTTAGTTTGCTTGAAAAACCTGTTATGTGAGAGTTTTGAGCCTTCGGCCAGGGAGCCGAAGGCTCCCCAGTGTGCGCTGTGGGCTGCTAAGTGCTTGGGACGCCGTAATTTGGGGCCTGCTGTGCTTCCTGGGCCGGTTGGGCCTTTATCGGTGTAGTAGGAGTCTGTGGGCCGGGGGTTCCCGGGCCATATACTCCATCAATAAGTTCTCTCTCTCTCTCTCTCTCTATATATATATATATATATATGTGTGTGTGTGTGTGTGTGTGTGTGTGTGTTCAAGTGAGAAAATCATCTTAGGAGAGAAATAAGAATGATTCTAAGCCATTGAATTGCAATATTATTGAATTTATTTGATTATTTCGTTTAAGGCTAAATGAGTAATTTGAAGAATATTTCCTTCTACGTAATATCCTAATATGAACGAATTCCCTAACTTTTTGCACCTCATAATTTAATATCATCCCTTCATTTCTGTATCTACTCTTACAGGTTCTCCAGTACAAAATTAAACAACTTGCATTTCTTCACCATTCTTTCATCTATCTCAACTTTTATTATCTTTCACGCAAGAAAAATTGAAGCGCGATATATTCCCCTCTCCATGGATTCATAGTAAGACTAACTTGCTTGTATTTCTCGATTGAATTTCTAAAAAACTTTTATGTAATTCGGAATTTGCAATTTAATGTTTTTCATTTTCAATAGTTATTGCGGAATTTTATTGAATATATTTAAAAAAACTTTAATATATGCTTATTTTCTGAATATTTTATGTATCTTTATCCTACAACTTTTACCATGTAAAAAATATATTTCAATTTTTTTCAAGCATTGAATATGTATTATGCTACTTTTTTTGTATATTAAAATTTTATTTCACATTTTCACATGATATCTTAGTGCAATTAAAATCACATTAAATTATGTTTTCAAAAAAAATCACATACAATTACACTAACATGGATTAAGAGATGCACAATAATGTTATTAATATACTACACCTAATTTTTAGAAAATGCACTCAGACTCTCATATCATGCACTTTATTATTATTGATTCATTGTTCTAAAAAATGCACTTTTGACCCTTGTTCTTCCTGAATATGTGGTACTTTGATGCACTTATGATGTTTTGTTCATGTTTTAATTTGATCCAAATTAATTAATGCATCATCATTTTATTATCATGCTCTACAATTTTTTTATTTGGAGTAACACAATTATATATGATGCACTTTTTATGATTTTAAGTGCACTGCAATGGATTCATCATGAAAGGCACCTCCCAAAATGAATCATCAAAGTGACAGTAATGATATACGGTGTCCCCAATAACAAAGCTTTAAAGCGGCATATGTGGAGCGCAATAAAAAGAGACCATTATATGAAGCAATTATGATGTATTTGGAAGAAAAGTGCATTTTATTTTGTAAACAGTGTCTATGAGGAATTATAGAAAGTGCGATATAACAGTGCACTTTTGTATATATCTATAATGCACGTGATGAATGTGCATTTTATTTTATAAAAAAGTGCCAATGTAGAATCTTAGAAAGTACAATATAATAATGCACTTCTTTATATATTCAAAATAGAAAGTGCAAGCTAATGACATAGATATGCACTTTACAAAAGTTCAGATTAATGTAATAAAAGTTTTAGTTCACACTTTTTTACATTTATATTCATTAATTCAAAATCATTGTGATTTTAAAATGTATGAATCGATAATGCACGTCTTTATATATTTAAAATGTACATAATAGTTTTCAGTTACACGAAAGTGCACGGGAGCATGCACAAAGTGTAGAATAATGTTATAGAAAGTGCAAGCTAATGACATAAACATGCACTTTACAAAAGTGCAAATTAATGTAATAAAATGTTACTTCTTTTCAGATTCATTCCATTGATAAACAATATAATGTTGATTATTTAAATTACTACTAGTGGAATTTACCTTAAGTAAATTGATGTTGCACACAATTTTAAACTAAGATATGCCTATTCAATGTTGAAGTGCAAATCCATATATCATTGGATGGATTAATGGTGCAAGGTGTTTTTAATAAAAATGAAAAATAAGAAAAAAAAGATTTAGGAGGAGTAAATTAAATTATACAAATGGAATGGAAGTACGTTATTTGGAAACAAAATATGAATCTTTCAATTAATTTTCCTAATTAAGAGAAACTTTCAACTATGGAATTACGTGTGCAAGCCATGAAGCCAGGTGATAACTAACAAATTAAATGTTTGATAATTAATAGTGCTAACTCTTAGGGAAAATTGAGTTGAGTGGTTGCAAAATGGTTAAACAAATGAGATTTTTAAGGAAATATAATTAGTGGTCCAATTGCACGTATTCCGTATTATAAATCAATTGACACCTTTGCCCTTTATTATTAATTACGTTACTATTATGATTAAAACTGCCTTTCACAACTCCTCTTAATTACGACATTTCATCACCCATTATATCTAATCTCAATCATTGATTAAGTATATTAGATGGTCAGATTTTATTCTTTTTTCTCTCCTGGGACATCATTCTCACCTCAACCATCCCCTATATGTGTGTGTGTGTTTTGGTTCAAACAAGAACATGATCTAAGGAGAGAAATGAGAATGAATCTGGATCGTTAGATTTGATTTAAGTGAAATTCAATGTTCACTAGATGAAATTGTAATGTGCATTAGCTGAAACTGAAATGTGCAGCACAAAGGGTACGATACAGTGGCATTATGTGATGCTGAATTGTGTATTAGGTGAAATTGAAATTTGCACTAGGTGAAACTGAAATATGTAGAATAAAAAGTACGATTTGATGTTATTTTTGTACCTTTTATTCAGCACATTTCAGTTTCACTTAATGCACACTTGAGTTTAAATATTTATTCTGCACATTTCAATATCATCTGATGCACATTTCAGTTTCACCAAATGCACATTCCAGTTCCACATAATACAATCTAACGATCCAGATTCATTCTTATTTCTCTCCTGGAAGTCCATTCTTATTGGAACCGCTCCCTATATATATTGTGGTTCAAGTGATAATGTCATCTTAGAAGAGAAATAAGAATGTTTATTAGTCATTAGATTCATCATTTTACTTAATGTTCACGTGTGAAATTTTATGGGCAAAAAAGTCATCCATCTACTCATTTATTATTTACATGCATACAATATGATCACATGATTCCTTTCCTAATTTCCGCCCACTTTAACTTTTAGTCCTTATGTGTTATACTCTTCATTTCCAATTCAATTTTTCTTTAATGAGGTTCCTTCCATTTAGAGTATATATGCTACTAGGCCTTCCATCTCCATGACTTTTTTCTGGACGAGATTGCCTAAAGCGCTAGAGGGCTGCTGCCAATTTATGAGGTGAATCAAACCTCTCGTCCATTGGGTAGAGATAGTAGTCCGTTTCGTTTTGAGGTCTTTTTGAGTGGCTTCTGATGATCATGGGATGAGATGAATATTCAACCTCGTAGTATAGTTGAGCATCTTCTATTTGTTCATTTGGAGAGATTTTAAGTGAATATATGTGAACAATTAAGTGTTTCTAGTGAAATATTAAGTGTTTCATGAAAGAAGAAAGGAACATACTTAATCGACTTCATAGAGTATACAAATGGATTGAAGCACTTATAAAAATAATGATTTGAATTATGATGTAATTTTAAATTTTGAAAATGAAATACATGTGAACAATTACTCAAACTATTGTTACACAATGTTTAAAGAAAAGTGCATCTACAAAACATTATTGATTAATTTATATGTTATTTGGTATATTGCACTTATACTTGATTATTTAATTCTGCACATTTAATAAATTATTAAAGTATTCGAAGACACATATATTAGTGTAGAGATTCTACACAAAATGTGCATGGTTGCAAGTGCACGTTAAAAATGCGTTTTATATGTATATTTTGGTGTGGGTATCTTCAAAAATGTATCTGACCGCCTTCCTGATCGATTGAATTTTTAGCTGAAATATTTTGTGGATAAATTAGACTTGATTAGGAACATGCTAAAAAAATCATCAAAAAATATCACCGGAACCCCCCAAGCAGCGGCCGGACAACGCGTCCTGTCCCTACGGCTTGACAAGATCATTTCTCATATATATATATATATATATATATATATATATATATATATATATATATATATATATATATATATATATATATATATATATATATATATATATATATATAATTTATAAATGATCGATAGGCTCTAGTACGGATCGAACCAAATATCACTGATCCCTATGCTCGAACTCGGATTGAATAACTATTCAAACTTAAAATCTAGGTCGTGTTAGTGTTCGGGCTCATTAAGCTCAAGTCGTTAAATTATATTTGAAATCAAGCTCGAACTCGAGTAGTTCAAAAAAAGCTCGGCTCAATAACAGCCTTAAGCTAAACCTTGTGTGTAGTAACAATTTTTTTACTGTTTAGCGCACCGCACCTCTCATTCTCTGTCACTCCCCTATACATACACAACCTTAATTATTTACACATGTATTATAAATGCATGAAAACACTCAATAAATGTCTCATTCATTAAATTTCAAAGATGTACACATCAATCTATCATGTCTAAAGACATTATGAGGTTTAACTTACAAAAGCAAAGATAATATAAAGCAATTGTCTAGATATTACACTCAAACAATATCCTTATCAAGTCTTAATATAATAGAATTGTCAAGAACTCATTAAGATCATCCCTAGTTCTTTATTAGAACCCCAAGTATTAGATGCATTATATTCCAATGACAAAGCATGTGGGCATCATTTGATTCTATTCATCTTCACCTTCAACTAAATCCCTTGCCTGCACAAATTAAATAAATATTTAGCACTCATGTTCTATATTTTTCACTAAAACTGTCTTGAACTTTTTTTTAATTCTTTTCCCTTTTTATTCTATTTATGTGTGTTTTTTCTACACTTTTACTTTGATACATGAGCAATTCAGTGGTCATTGATTTTGAAGAAAATATGAAAATAGTGTAGCACATATATCTTAAATATCTTAAAAGTCCACCTTAGTCTTCTTTTTTTTTGAATTTTATAAAACCGATCCATTGTTGTCCATAGCATTTCTTCTGGTATTATTTTTCCTAGCATTGAGATAAAAACCTAGGCATAGTTTAAAATTATTTAAAATGAATCACAACGCCGATCAGATTGCTGAAGTGAAGCATAACAAGAAAACACATTAAACATCACAAGTAGACGAAGGACTACAAAATCATAATAAGCAGACCAAATTCTGCAATTCAGTTATTAACTACCCCAGTACCAGAAGCTAATCAATCCAGTATCTCCGACAATTCGGTCTGTCTGACTGCCAGCCAACTTTCTGTTCCGAAATATGTGATCAGCCTTCATTCTCTCACTCATTCCATAAGCAGGAACTCTGGCATTTATATACGGAGTATGCCTGAAGAAGTGTTTGAAATTGTTTAAGGCAGGATGTGTACCGCACCGGCCTCATACTGTATAACATCTTCTCACAGTTGTGTACGTCGCCTTTTGCTGCATATTTCTCCATGATGGTGGCATAGGATCTGTACAATGGCTTTTTCTGACCCTTTGTGGCTGCATTTTTCAGTATAGAGACAGCCTTTTCCACTTCTCCAGCATTACGATAAAGCTTAACAAGTGAATGGCCCCACTGGGCAATGGTTTTGTTCCATCCTCTTCACAAGCTCATTCCCTTTCTCCAACATCTTGTGTTCTGCATACACACTTAATAAAACATGGTAAGCTTTCGAAATGAGATCTTAGCGATGTCTCAAACGCCTCTTCTGCCTCTTCGATTTTCTTCAAAGTTCCCAAACAGGAATCGCAGCCATACACTCGTGTACACTCTGCCTTGTGTCACGACTCTCCTGTTTCTCCACTATCGGTGTCCTAGTTTCCGCAAGAGTTAGGCTGACTAGCATAGTTTGAGTGAGTGTTGCTAGTGCCGCACGGGTTCGAGAATAAGTCCGTGACACTTGCCAAGGGAAGCATAGAGAGCAAGTAGCAATGTGCGCACCAAACAGATTTCCTTCTCATTCCCTCCTTTCATCTCCTTCATTACAGCCTCGGCTTCTTCATTGTGACAACCAGCAATGTAGTGTTTGGCTATTGATCCTTTTATGTAGACATCAGGTTCGAATCCATCGCTTTTCTTTTTTTCTACAATTTTTTCCATGGCATCTATGTCATTGAGTTGGCCCTTGATGTCGATCAATAATAAGGATGTGAAGCCAGATGGCTTCACTCCTTCTTTGCCCATGAGTAACAGGACATCGGAAGTCTTCTTCTTCTTCTTCTTCTTCAAATTCGACCTAAAAATAAAATTTCCATTTTCAAAATTATTAATATTATATTTATACACACAAATAAATACAATCTAAGTTTTTTCCTCTCTTCTTCACTGGCATTTTTACTCCTTATTTTACTATCACTTAAATTTTGATATTTATAAATAAATAAACATAAGTAAATATAATGTATATGTAAATAGAGTAATATTCCAGTTAGGAACCGCCGCCATTTGAAGTGGTTCCTGGTGGAGTTTTTTAATGAATTCTTCTGAACATATTTTTCATGAAGGGTAGATTATGTCTACAAAATTTCAGCTTAAAATTCGATCGTGAAGTTAGTGAAATAAATTATTGAAAAACATTGTGTCAAAATAAATATAAAAAGCTCTGTGTTTTTCAATAATTTATTTACCCGACTCCTCGATTCAATTTTAAGATAAACTTTTGCGGGCATAATCTACATTTCATGAAGAATAAGATCACAAAATTTCATCAAAAATTCCAACGAAAACCACCTCAAATGGCACTGGCTGAACGACTGTTTTGATCAGGAAGTCCTGAGGAGAACTTCTCACTCTCATAAGTAAGTGGAGAACGAAAACAATACATAAGTTGATGAGGATTATTGATGCAATATACTTTCCTCCCCATGCCCCTCCCTCACGCCTCCTTATACCCAATTAACAATCCCAAGATGAAAAGAATGAGCTTTTTGAAAAACGGCTAGCTTGAAAAAGGCTAGTTAGTAAAAAAAAAAATAGCAGAGCGGAAAAACAAAGTATTTTCTTGTGTTGTTACGAATTTTAAATGCTATTTTGTGCCAATGTCTGTAAGGATTCAGATGTTTTGAATTATTCTGTAATCTTGTGACTGCAATGCAAATGCAAAGATCCTTCTATATTCTAAAAAGTTGTGAAAGATTTTTTTTTAAAACAAATTGCAAGCTAATCCTTTTCAAAAACGAATGGATGAGAGACATAACTAAAAATTATATGAGCTTTACACATAACTAACATCACATCAAAAGGATTATGTAATGAAAGGAAGAAAAGTCTTATCCTTGGAGGTTTAAGATGGTGCTTATAATTTCAACAAACATAGGTCTACATTATGAAAAAATTTATCCGAACTGTGAACTTAGATGTAATAGTACATGAAATTTGGATACATTTAAGTAATAAATACCAAGTAACTATATAAATGTATTACCATGCACCATGTAAAAAGTAAACATTCACTCTCCTCTTAATTTATTAGGGTTTGATTAGGAAAACCACCAAAAGCATACGGTTATCAAGACAATAGTTGTTTTCATCTAAACTTTTCCAATACTCTGACATTTATTACTTATGCGTTATTCTAGAAACAAACATTTCTATTTCATGTTAAATTAATATTAATAATTAAACTGATTATTCTAATCTGGAATTTATTACTTATGCGTTATTCGAGAAACTCTATGTTTAATCATATCCTGGGGAATTTCCCGTTTTCTATTAGTTTTCCTTTCCTTCGTGGGTGGAGAGAAAAGTGGTGTGTAGGTGGGCGCTGGGGAGTCATGCTGGAAAAAACAGTACGGAGTTAAAATAGAAACCATACGGTAAAATCACATGGTTCATCATTCATTATTTTATCTTCCAATTCAAGAGTCTCAGCCACACATGTTCTGTACTCACTCTAAATGAGCCTAATATATGGTTTTTATCACAAGTCCAAACAAGTACCTCAAGAACAATTATCTTGCTTTTAAAATTTTGTTTCTAACATATCTTGAAAACATTTGAGTGAGAAAACATATCATCATATTGGACAAACAATATGAAGAAAGGGAGATCTAACAAACCTTAATTAAGTCTGTTTCCCATCATGAAAGCTTCCATCTCTCCCAACCCAACTGAACCCCGTACCTTTGGATATCCCACGCGACTTCATCAACGCTCTAACCTCACCCACACCATCCCATTTCCCCGCCTCCGCAAAAGTATTTGATAGCGCAACATATGCACCGGGCCGACCATCCCCGCTTACATTGAACAGTTCGTTAGCAGCTAAGTTAGTGATCTCCACATCTCCGTGTAGTCTTCCAGAGCTAAGCAATGCAGCCCAAACATCAGAGTTGGGCTTCTCGGGCATATCTATGATAAACTGCAAAGCCTGGTTTAGACTTCCATCCCGGCCCAACAAATCAACCATGCATGCATAGTGCTCCATCCTTGGCTTCATCGAATAGTCCTTCGTCATCCTTGCAAAGATGGACATCCCTTTGGATACTAGCCCGGAATGTGAACATGCTGAGAGAGCACTTAAGAATGTAACATAGTTAGGTTTCAGATGATGGCTTATGAGCATTTCATCAAACAGAACAAGAGCTTCGTTTGGATACCCGTTCTTCCCATACCCATCAATCATTGAAGTCCATGAAAAGACATTTGTTTCAGGCATGTGGTCAAAAACACTTCTTGCTGCCTCAGTTTGGCCGCATTTCGAAAACATGTCAATCAAAGCACTCCCGATCTTTATGTGTTGAAAGAAGTTAGTCTTAACTACTTGCCCTTGGACTTGCTGACCGACTTCAAACGCAACTAGAGCAGAGCAAGCCCCGGTCAGGCTTGCAAATGTGGAAACTGTGGGGTTAAATCCCAATCTTTTCATGTGGATGTACAACTCAATTGCTCTTTTGGCAGTTTTGATGGATTTGCTATAGCCTTCAATCATTGCATTGAAAACAACCTCGTCTTTTGTGAGCGTTTTCTTGAACACATCTTCTGCATCATCCATGTTTCCTTGATTCATATAACCGGTAATCATTGAGGTAGAGCAAACAAAGTTGTCTTCCCGCATCAAATCAAACACTCTTCGGGCATAGTGTAGCCTTCTGTTCTTGACGTACGAGTCGACCAACACTGTATAAAGAACACCATCACCTTCAACCCCAGACCTTAAAATCTGAGTGTGAACCTGTGTCGGTACCAAGAAACCTTGCAATCCTGCAACATCCAAACAAGTTGAGCCTTTCAAGATCATCGAAAATGTGAACCCATCAGCTTTTTCACCAGAAAAACTCTGTTTTCTAACTAAATCATAAGATTCTTGGACTAGCCCATTCCTTATGTACCCAGAAAGCATGTAGTTATAAGCCGAGAGTGTTAGTTGGGGCAATCCATCAAACACCTGGCGTGCATAAGTGATGGATGATGATTTGATGTACAGAATCAGGAGCTTGATGGAGATATTGATATTAGGTTTGACACCAGTTTTTAGGATGTGCGAATGGACCTTTTGGCCGTGTGAAGGGTGGTCTGAATTGATGTACTGTTGTAAAGCGGAGGGTAGATGACTTGGAGATGGTGGGTAGGAGAAGGGTTTACTCTCTGTTGGCGGGACCAAAGTAGTTAATTTGGTTATTTTCGAACGATTCATCACGACTAAAGTCCTCTGATGTGCGCCGCAGTTTAGACAAAATTGTTTAGAGTGTAGATAGGAAGAAGAAAGGAAATGGAGAGAAAAAAATGGAGAGGAATTGGACTGGTTTCTAGACTCTAGAGTACATTCTGTACATTCAACTGAACACATGTCATTTATGATTAGATTTATGAAGCATACTGACGTGCTGATTAAGGAGCTGACGTAATTAATGAATAAAAGTTTAAGGTTTATTTATCTAAAATATTTAGATAATTTCAATCATTCATTATGTCGGGGTAAAAGGAGCAAATAAGGCCACGTACTAACAAAAAAAGATCAAATAAGGCCTTATTTATGAGGTTCTGTCCGGCCTTCGCCATTTGGGGTGGTTCTCGGTGGAATTTTTTGATTAATTTTTTTGACCATCTTATTCATTAAGTCTAGTTTGCTCATACCAAATTTTAGATAAAAACTTAATCGAGAAGGCATTCAAATGAATTCTTGAAGATAACTGTGCTTTTAACTGCGCAATTATCTTAAAGAATTCATTTGAATGGCTTCCCGATTGAAATTTTAGCTTAATTTTGGTATGACTAAACTAGACTTACGGAATAAGATGCTCAAAAAATTTCATCAAAAAATTCCACCGAGAACCAACCCAAATGGCGAAGGCCGGACAGAGTCTCATAAATAAGGCCTTATTTGACCTTTTTTGTTAGTACGTGGCCTTATTTGCCCCTTTTCCCTTATGTCGGTGTGCTATTTAGGATGTTTTTCCTTGTACTGTAATTTGTTGGTCTGATCTGTCCTGTCTAAATATGTTCTGTTCTGTTTAAGTTTGGTCTGATCTAATCTGATCTGGTAAATGTCTGATCTCTGTGTAATTTATAACTACAGAAGTCAAATCTGATATGGTTTGTTTAAGTTTGGTTTGATCTGATCTATTTAAGTTTGGTCTGATTTTGGACTGAAAACAATTCAAGTAAAAACATCTGCTGTATATTTTTTTCGTGAGTGAGTGTACTTCGCAAACAACTCACAAATATCTTCCCACTAAAAGAAAGCTTAGTTTGTTGTAAAACCATCAAATTGACAAGTGTGAATATTCATCCTTGTAATCAGGACACTAAGCAAACACAAATCCTTGTAATCACACACATGGCTAGATTCAATACTGCCAGCAAATTATGTAGAATCATTCCTAGATGATTCATCCCTAAGCATGGCTAGTATAAATAGGGCTTGTTTCATTCATTGTAAACTTACTCAGAAACTCAGAAATTTTCATATCAAGAAGATAATATCTAAAGCTTATTAATAATATATCTCTCTTAAATCTGTTCTTCATCTTCTTCATTTTATAACACGTTATCAGCACGAATCTGCTCAAAAGTCTTCCAGAAATCATCATCTCCTGCAGGTATTAAGATTAGTATCTACTATCTTCTTTCAGTATTCAAACCTGAAAATTATTCTGCCTTTTTAAATAAAGTTTCTATGATATACGGAGAGAAAATATAGATAACATACCTTCAAAATGTATCTTGATAAATCCTTCGTAAATCAGTAAAGAAGAACACTGACTTAGAAATATGAAAGAAGATAGTGGGTATAACATATAGAAATACACTCGGTGGATGTCTAGAATCTAAACCGGTAACTAATACTGAGTACTACGCAACGCAACAACGAATCTAATAAGTCTGTTCTGATGCTCATATTTAAGTACTCCTTAAAGAAGTAGATCACTCGCATGCTCAAATACTTTAAAGAACTATTTAAAGTAATACTCCGTAATTTTTCACATCCAGTAGGATAGTCACAGATTCTGTAATTTTTCACATCCGGTAGGATTATGTATATCTTTTTATTATCTTTTTGTATCACATGCATACATTTACTATTAAAAATATAAAATAAAATAAAAGGGAAGAAGCCAAGGAGGCTCCACATGTGGCTTTGCAGAAGTGATTAGAGGCTTCTGAACGTTATATCTAAAACCAAAGTAATGTCAGATCAGTAATCCATTTCAAATAAATTTTTATGGTTAGATATAGACTTTTTTTTTTGTTACTCCGTATTTATTAATAATCGTCAATGATAAGCTTCAAACCTAGTACTGCCACATGTCTTTTTTTGTGTACGTATACAAATTTATAACGTAAATCTTAAAACAAAAGAAAATAATCATACGTCAATAGTTGATAAACTATATAATTAGTATACTCTTTATATAAGATTTATTTCAACATATTTTAAATTACTTATAGAGTGGTAAGTATCTTGTGATATAAATATACACTTTACTGATTCGACCGGTTTTAATAACTCCTGCAGTATAATGGCAAATATAAGCAAACGAGAATTCGATGTCCTTGATCTGTCCGGGCAAAAATACCTGGAATGGAAAGTTGATGCTTTAGTCCGAGGACAAACCGAAAGCTATTATTTTTCTCCGCCACCATCTCCATGAAAGTCTCAAGTCTGAATATCTTTTGATCGATAATCCAAAAGAATTATGGGACAATTTACAGGAGAGGTATGGCCACCAACAAAAGGTCCTTTTACCTAAAGCTCAGTATGACTGGATCAATTTAAAATTCCAGGATTTTAAATCAATCAGTGACTATAATTCTGCTATGTTCCAAATAACATCCAAATTAAAGTTATGTGGACAAAAAGTCACTGATGTTGATATGTTGCAGAAAACCTTTTCTACAATGCATATTTCTAATATGCTGCTACAGCAGCAATATAGAGAAAAGGGTTTTAAAAAATACTCCGACTTAATATCAGTTTTACTTGTAGCTGAGCAAAATAATGACCTTTTGATGAAAAACCACAATCTGAGACTCACTGGTTATAGTCCTATTTATGGTCCATCCGGCCATAATTTAGCCACAGAATCAAATGCAACACATAGTGGTAGTAGAAGACATTTTAAACGTGGGCATTATGGTGGTCATAATAACAAGTCCCACCGAGAATATAAACAAGCCAATAGACCGAATTATAAGGGCAAGGGCAAACAAAAAGGCCATCAAATAAATCACCCTCCAAAATCCTCGGGAAAATCGACTTGTTATAAATGTGGCATGACGGGGCATTGGGCTAATAAATGTCGCACGGCTAAACATCTGGTGGAGTTATTTCAAACTTCTATGAATTTAAACAAAGGCAAAAATATGGAAGCTAATTATGTCAATGACACAACTCCATCTCTGCCAAAATTTGACGTGTCCGACTTTTTCGCTAATGATGCTATTATGGACGATGTTTTTGCCATAAACCAAAATGTTACAAAATAAAATAGTAGACTCCGTATGTTGTATAATACTAATTTTATGTATTTTTTCTTTCTTCCACTTTTATTTTGTTTTTAAATAAATATGTGTAATGTATATACTCTTATGTTAAATAAAATGAATAATTTGTGATCAAGCTAATGTTTATTTATATATATTGAAGATATGGATCATTCAAATGATAAAGAGCTATGTCTGATAGACAGCGCCACAACGCACACCATTTTGAGAAATAAAATATATTTTTCTCAAATGACTTTAGTTGAAGCTAAAGTCAATACAATATCAGGTGTTGCGAAGCTCATTGAAGGCTCTAGGAAAGCATATGTGATGCTCCCTAACGGGACAAAAATAATTATAAACGACGCTTTATACTCCAGCAAATCGCGGAGAAATCTATTAAGTTTTAAAGATATGCGTCAAAATGGTTATCACATAGAAACCATGAATGAAAATCAAAGGGAATATCTTTGTCTCACGACAACTAAATCTGGCACTAAATTTATTTGTGAAAAAATGTCAGCATATTCCTCAGGACTATATTTCACATATATTAGTCCATTCGAAATAAATTTGGTTTCTAACATAAAGTTAGATGATCAGAAAACATTCATGTTGTGGCATGACCGTTTAGGTCACCCAGGCCAAGTAATGATGCATAAAATCATTAAGACTTCACTTGGACACCCATTAAATAATATCAGGGTTCCATTATCAAGTGATTTTCCTTGTAAGGCCTGCTCTCTTGGCAAAATGATCATCAGGCCTTCTATAAATAAAATTGCAACTGAATCACCTGCATTTTTAGAAAGGATTCAAGGAGATATTTGTGGGCCGATAGCCCCACCATGTGGACCGTTTCGATATTTTATGGTGTTGATTGATGCTTCGACACGTTGGTCACATGTCAGTCTGTTATCGACTAGAAATTTAGCATTTACTAAACTCCTTGCTCAAATAATACGATTAAGAGCTCATTTTCCGGATCATTCTATAAAGAGAATCCGACTTGACAATGCAGGAGAATTTACATCCCAATCATTTAACGACTATTGTATGTCGATTGGGATTGACGTGGAGCACCCTGTTGCTCATGTCCATACACAAAATGGTCTTGCCGAATCTTTGATTAAACGATTACAGTTAATCGCTAGACCATTATTAATGAAGTGTAATTTACCTTCATCAGCTTGGGGACATGCTATTTTGCATGCAGCAAATTTAATTCGGCTTAGACCGACTGCATATCATGAATATTCCCCAATGCAATTAGTTACTGGACATGAGCCAAACTTAGCACACATTAAGATATTTGGTTGTGCTGTTTATGTTCTGATTGCTTCATCTCATCGTACAAAAATGGGTCCTCAAAGAAGGTTGGGAATTTATGTTGGTTTTGAATCTCCCTCAATAATAAAATATCTCGAACCGATGACTGGTGACTTATTCACAGCACGGTTTGCAGACTGTCATTTCAATGAGACAGTGTTCCCAACCCTAGGGGGAGAAAATACTAAATTAGACCCAAGTACGAAAGAGATTACATGGAATGCAACAAGATTATCACATCTTGATTCAAGATCAAATATATGTGAACAAGAGGTGCAAAAGATAATCCATTTACAAAATGTTGCAAATCAGTTGCCTGATGCATTCACAGATACAAAGAAAGTGACAAAGTCACATATTTCTGCTATGAATGCCCCTGCCAGAATCGAAATCCCAATAGAGAATTCTGAAAAATCTCTTACAAATGATTCTTCTATACGCAAAAAGCGTGGCAGGCCACTTGGACCGAAAGATATAAAACCAAGAAAAACTAAAAGGCAGAAATTGATCTG